CGACGAGCGCCGTCGGCAATTGCGCGCGCTTGCTCCAGTGCCACTTGCAGCTTTGAGATGCGGGCTGAGGCATTCCCCTGCGATACCTCAGCTTGCTGCCGCACTTGCCGCACTAGTTGCTCCTCCTGCACCAGCTTTGCCACATCGCGCTTGGCCGAGGCAGTTTCATTCGTCAACTGATGCTTCACTCGCTCGACATCGTGCTTCAACGTTGCTTCCCGACTTTGTTCTGCAGCTTCTTTGTTCCTCGTTTGGTTAAGCCTCTCTTGGCTGCGGTGGAGCTGCTTCTGGAGCTCATGCTCGTCACTGCGATCTTTCACCATCTCCTTCTGCAATGTGCCTCGCAAGTCAGCAGCCCTCTGGGTGAGAGCCGCTTCCTGCTCCTGCGTTTGGTGCAAACGCGTCTCTGCTTCTGTCTGGTTCCGACGAGCGCCGTCGGCAATTGCGCGTGCTTGCTCCAGTGCCACTTGCAGCTTTGAGATGCGGGCTGAGGCATTCCCCTGCGATACCTCAGCTTGCTGCCGCACTTGCCGCACTAGTTGCTCCTCCTGCACCAGCTTTGCCACATCGCGCTTGGCAGACGCAGTTTCGTTCATCAACTGGTGCTTCACTCGCTCGACATCGTGCTTCAACGTTGCTTCCCGACTTTGTTCTGCAGCTTCTTTTTTCCTCGTTTGGTTAAGCCTCTCTTGGCTGCGGTGGAGCTGCTGCTGGAGCTCATGCTCGTCACTGCGATCTTTCGCCATCTCCTTCTGCAATGTGATTCGCAAGTCAGCAGCCCTCTGGGTGAGAGCCGCTTCCTGCTCCTGCGTTTGGTGCAAACGCGACTCTGTTTCTGTCTGGTTCCGACGAGCGCCGTCGGCAATTGCGCGTGCTTGCTCCAGTGCCACTTGCAGCTTTGAGATGCGGGCTGAGGCATTCCCCTGCGATACCTCAGCTTGCTGCCGCACTTGCCGCACTAGTTGCTCCTCCTGCACCAGCTTTGCCACATTGCGCTCGGCCGAGGCAGTTTCGTTCGTCAACTGGTGCTTCACTCGTTCGACATCGTGCTTCAACGTTGCTTCCCGACTTTGTTCTGCAGCTTCTTTTTTCCTTGTTTGGTTAAGCCTCTTTTGGCTGCGGTGGAGCTGCTGCTGGAGCTCGTGCTCGTCACTGCGATCTTTCGCCATCTCCTTCTGCAATGTGTTTCGCAAGTCAGCAGCCCTCTGGGTGAGAGCCGCTTCCTGCTCCTGCGTTTGGTGCAAACGCGACTCTGTTACTGTCTGGTTCCGACGAGCGCCGTCGGCAATTGCTCTTGCTTGCTCCAATGCCAATTGCAGCTTTGAGATGCGGGCTGAGGCATTCCCCTGCGATACCTCAGCTTGCTGCCGCACTTGCCGCACTAGTTGCTCCTCCTGCACCAGCTTTGCCACATCGCGCTCGGCCGAGGCAGTTTCATTCGTCAACTGATGCTTCACTCGCTCGACATCGTGCTTCAACGTTGCTTCCCGACTTTGTTCTGCAGCTTCTTTGTTCCTCGTTTGGTTAAGCCTCTCTTGGCTGCGGTGGAGCTGCTGCTGGAGCTCATGCTCGTCACTGCGATCTTTCACCATCTCCTTCTGCAATGTGCCTCGCAAGTCAGCAGCCCTCTGGGTGAGAGCCGCTTCCTGCTCCTGCGTTTGGTGCAAACGCGTCTCTGCTTCTGTCTGGTTCCGACGAGCGCCGTCGGCATTTGCGCGTGCTTGCTCCAGTGCCAATTGCAGCTTTGAGATGCGGGCTGAGGCATTCCTCTGCGATACCAAAGCTTGTTGTTGCACTTGCTGTGCTAGCTGCTCCTCTTGCACCACGTGGGCTATCTGAAGCTTTAAGCGCTCCACTTCTTCCTGCAGGTCAACTGCTTGCTGTTGATGCACAGAGTCCTGCCGTTCAGCCTCCCTGGTTCTGGCCAGCGCTTCGCGTAGTTTTTCGCGAAGCCGTTGCAATGCCTCCTGCTGCCCCGTCTCGTTGCCCCTCGTCGCAGCACTGCGCTCTCCATTGCCGGTGCCAGCAAGGTCTGCAGCCTGAGTCCTCACAAGCACGCGGTGAAGCTCTGGGTGCAAGATCGAAACACATGGAACAAAAGCCAGTAGCTCACTGCCTCCCCAGTGCCACTCCTATCGGATATGAGGGCGCTTCAAAGAGAAGACCAGACCTCAGCAGAGATTCCACCTAAGCTCTGGTCGTGGCTGCAACCGCTCAGGTGCCCAGCCCGGTCTTGGCGAATCCTTCCTGAGACAGCCCGCTCGCCGCGCTGAGCATGGAGCTAGGCAAGTCCCGTGATGCAATCCGAGCCTCGGCTTCGGCGCAGGAACCGGCGGACCAAAGCAGCACCTGCCGCTAACAACGGTCGTGTTTGCATCGAAGGCAGCAGAAGCTGTGCAGTCAGCGCTCCCGAGGCCTGGATGAGCCAGAGAAGCATTGGCCTTCAGCATGGGCGGAACTAACGTCTCCAGGCAAACATCCAAGAACAGTCGAACGTGATTTCGCAGCCCATGGACTCCAGTCACCTGTCTCTTAGCAAGTGCTAGAAAGTATCGAAACGAATGTCCAAACACAGCCCATGACTGCTTGCATCAAAACAACTCGACTCTCTCTGCAGTAGCATTGCAAGTCAAGGAACTCACGGCCGCATCAACGGCAAACACCACCCGCGATCATGTAGCCAGTATTGTGCTCATGCGAAAGAATAGCTCTTAAAGTCTTACTGCTTCTATAATACTGGGATCTACTGATTGCATCTGGCCATCATCTAGCCGCTAGATGCGCTTGGCATGTCAGACACAGACGTGCCTGAGAGATGCCCCCCATGCCGACCTATGTTCAGACATGGGCCGAATCTGGACCGCTTTGAGCCGTTAAAGAGGCTTTGACCTCACAAGCCGGTGCATCGGATGCATTCATGCAAAAAGTCAGGACAGCGGCGAGCATATCACGGCGGCTTTGTGCTTGTGAAGCGATGCATGGCCTGCACGGCCCAGCTCACATTCCAGGCCCTTTGGCCATGGATTTGCAAAGTTGTCCATAGGACCTGTTGCAATTTCCCCCGTTGGTCGCGAAAAAGCGGCTCCGTGGGCAGTCAGCTCAAGTCAAAGCCACTCTCGGAACGAATGGCTTGAAGTAACTTGTCCCGTAGCATTTGCTGACTGGTATACGCCTTGGCGCAAGGTCGAATTCGTCGCTTGCGGACAGTCGCAAGCGAAAGCTTGTCTTTGAACTTGCAGCTCGGGTCGGCACTGGCAGCTTCAAGAGATTTGCACATGTCGACGCCTGCGCATAAGCCGAGTGGAAGCGCACCGATGCGAAAAGACGAATCCGAATTCCGCTGAGACACCGTTGGCAAGCGAGACCTCAGCAAAGTATCTGCGAGCCGGCCGAAATCCACTCTAAACGGGGGGCCCCGGCGAGTCGTCGACCTTGTGGATGCAGAACTTGGGCTCGAAGCTCTTGAAACCTCAGGAAACGAGAGAACGCCTAAGATCCCTTGGCCCCTGCGGCCTTCCCAATCCCTGAGAAGCGGTGCCCAGAAGGGGCGGTCGGCTGCACGACGTGGCGAACATTAGGAAGCGGCCCATGTCCTCTCACAAGGCCGAAGTTTCGCACATGCGGCGAGGAGGCGAGGAGGCAGCCTCTGAGTCCAGTCCATTCTCCAGCAAGTCCCACAGCCACTGAATCACCGGACTGTGATCCTGACCGTGATCGCACCACTTCCAGACTCTGGCTTGTCTCTGCCCCTTTAGCAACTCGGTCCGTGAATCCACCATTGTAGACCGTGTTTGCTTTTAGATCTGCGACGTCGAATCCAGCAGAAGACCCGGAGATGATGATCCCAAGCTCGCGCGCGTCGAACATGCGGAGCCACTTCAAGTCTAGAACACACCTGGGACTTCGGCCAAAAAAGACACTGACACGAAGTGAAGCTACTCTCCTCAAAGCGACGCTGTCCGCTAGCCTTCCAAAATGACTACATCTTCGATCTTCACTCGGACAACACATGGCATCTTCTGCATGATCATACCGATGCAGGCTAGGCACTTTAACCCTTCCAGGAAGAAATGCGTTTGAAGTGCCATCTGTGCTGTAATGCGGTGATCCACCAAGAGCTGCACATAGGAGTCCACGTTGTCCTCACCGGACTCGACTTCCAAAGCCCAACAACCTAAGCCATCCCGAGCCTGGGTCACAGCCCGGAATCTCCCGCGCTGGCAGAGGTCTGCCTGCAACAAAAGCCCGGCACCAGACAACTGCAACTCGGACTCCGAGGGCCCCGTTCTTGGGCCAAGCACAAAAACTGCCGCCGGCCTAAGGCCATGACCAGGTATTATATATCGCTACCAGAAGCAAAGCCCACGAGGTTGCACACAAGATCCCAGTAAAGATCTACCATGCGCAAGCCGAATCCTGAAATCCGCAAACACTTCTAAGCACCCTCCTAACCCTCCTATGCCTCCTGAATCGCGCCACCCGGCATAGGCACAGCAGTGCTGAAGGTGAGGCCGAGCTCCTTCACCGGTCTCTCACAACTTGGGATAACTTGGGGACCTTCTCAGGAGTCTGGAGCGGGGTGTACGGCTAGGGTCGCACGAGCCACAGCCACACGGTGGACGAGTGTGGCAGCGACAGATAGTCGTTTCTGGTCATGGGCTGCATGCGAGGTGGTACGGAAACGTTTAGAGTGCAACTTGAAGCCGTCCACAGCGCTATCGGAGATCAAAAAAATCTTTTCGTGCTCTGCTGCGAAAGAATGCCGAAGCAGCTTCCTTGATGTTCTTGGTCTGGCCTCGTGCAGAGACGGTGCACACAATGAGACATCGCAGCTCTCGCAGTGAGCTCGCCGTAACCGATCCGAGGTACGCAACTGAGCAATGTTCCGGGCAGCCTCGCGGTCCATGCTGGCCAGGTCCTACGCAAAGACGCTCTTTCACAAGACCGCCAAAAGCGTGGTAAGAAGCTTTCTCAGCTCCTCGGCATCTCCCATCTTGTCCAGTATTCTGTTAAGGAAAGCTCGGCTGAGCTGGTGTTCCAGTAGCATTTGCTCGTAGATCGCTTTCCCAATGACCTGTTTTAACTGGGCTAATTCAAGGTTCATAGGTCGGCTCCGTGACAGAGGCCGGCCTTGCCCAGGAAGGTGTAGAGCTTTGGCGCATTCGGCTGCAGCAAGTGAGCTGTTGGGAATGGGTAGAGCGTCTGGTCGCTGCTCACACTGAACAGACCATACTCGGGGCTCATGGCCGCACGGCAGACAAGAATCCTCGGCTGTTCCGCACGACACCGGGGGGAAAGGTACACAAAGCTCGGTTGCTTGCCATTGGAGATACTCCTGTCCTCGCTCTCAAAAGATGACAGTCGGTCAGGCTTGAAACAAGTTCCGGCAAGCTGCCTCAAAAACCCTGGCCTGGCCACGTGTCTAGTGCTGCCATGCCGACTCTTGCCGAAAAGTGAATCTAAAATTGTGAGAACTTCTCAGCTGTGATGAAGCTGATTCACGCCGCTACGGTATGCATCAGCGGTACAGAGGTGGCATTATCAAGGACAAGCCGAAATGCATGAACTCTTTGAACAATCCGCCGCCGTCGATTCCACTCTCCAGGCTGCCATCTGCTGCAACGAACCTCAGTGCAAATGCTTCTACAGCCAGGCAAGCACGGCCTCCAAGTGCTGCCAAACCTGCCTCAAGCATGCATTGTGCTCGCCACGACGAACCCCGAGATAAAAAAAATCGCATGCTGCGCGAAGGCGAATCACTCTTTTCGTACGTGGGATTGCCAATTAAGAATAACAGGTCGCCCTCCCATGCGCATGACTCATAGAACCGAACACATTCCATCGACTTGTCCTTCGGACGGCATTGTGGCGAAGCACGGCCGCTTCACAGATATCAAAGGATGCCGGGGGGACCACGTGCTTGATGGCTGACGATTCTTACGGTGGGTCGCCTCGGTCACACCGATGAAGGTATTTGCAGGCTTCCTTCACAGCTCGATCTGCGGGGGTCGGGGTGGCAGAATGCCAGTCAAGGCGTTGTCGTTGCGCCGCGCGCTCTGAACCTACATTCCTGTCGCATGCTGGCAATGCTGGCGTTGACCATGGTGAAGTGACAGTCGCTTCATGCTTGCCATTGTACTCCGTGGGCATGGTGCGGCCCTCTACCCGGGCAATTGATTTAAAGATGCGAAAGCAATTCGATCAACTCGACCCCCTGCAGGGCGGAGCTGATCGAAGCCGGCGGGCAAGTCATGCGTGCAGTGAAACCCTGTAGACTGCATGCGATTCAGCAGCTTCCACTCAGTGCTACAACGCTATACACGAAGGGCATCAGGCATATCTATCACTGCTTGATAGTATCCTGCTTTTGATCATAGCCCTGCCAGAACAACTATGCTAGTGCTACAAGTACAACCCGCCCACCCAAGCGTGTGGAGCCTTTCCAACCTTCCTCTGCACACATTGAAGGCACGCGAAAACGTTTTGGTCTACAGGGCTCGGCACTTATTAGCTGTATTTCGCACCACATTCCACCCATCTGGACCGGCCATTGGCCTTTATTGCCAGGGCACTCGACCACGAAGGTTGAGCGGAGCTCTGCTTGCGTGTTCAATTGCGTAAAGGCTGCAAACCCGTCCTCGATGATGTAGTCCCGACCTAGGTGATGCTGTGGCAACCAGAGCGAGATTGACAGTTGCTGACTCATGGCAGGCTGCGAATTCGGTGTTTCCTCAAAGATGCACGCGCCCAGTCGGCTCGCGTGTCTTCGCGCTGCATCTGCACAGAAATTGGACGCTTGCAGCGGTTCTCTCTTGATGCAACTGCTGCGGTCTGGTTTGCCGGTGAAGAGTGTCTACAAGGCGTGTCCTTGTCGACCCGGATCATCGCTTGCATGACGGCCACTCCTTACTAGTACCGGCAGAACACGGAAAACACGTGCTCGAGCATCATCACAGTATGTGACGAGATGATTGGGGCACCACGGCAGTACTTGTGGTGCTGATAGAATCAAGACTGTGCAGGCTCTTCCTCTCTCTCTTCCAGGCATCGCACGGTCTTCGAATGGCACCATCTGCGGAGCCTGCACAGATGCTACTTGGGGCGCCGTATGTGCTTCAACCACAGTATCCTCATCCTTCGTGCGATGCATCAATTCGACGTCTTGCTTCGCTAAGACTTTGTCTGGACTCCTTTCCGAATGTGGACACTTTGCGCCTTGCGCCGGCGATCCCATACAACGCGTGTCTGCCCCCCATGCACAAGTAGCGAGTGAAGGAACGACGTATATTTCCTGTTGAAGTAGCTGCTTGTTCTCTTCGTTCCGGCATAAGCTCACGTGACGAACTCTCCCTATCCTGTATAGTTCGGCGACATGTGAATTACTCCAAGCACCAGGAAGTGAGGCCCTAAGTGGACTCGCGTTGGACAGTGCCACGCTTGCTCGTCGTACAGTATGTTCTCTTTCGTCCCTGCCTGTAGTCTTCTCGAGAAGTTTCCTCCCCCTTCCTCCGTTTGATTACCCCGCTTCATCTTGACAGCTCCTCTGTGAGCAACAGAACCAAATGGCCTCTGCCAGTGCCACTTCCAGCAGTTTCGCTGAGGCTGCCTCCATGGTCTGGGGTGCTTCACAAGGCGCATCTGCGCTCTCGTTCCTGGCTTACGAACACAGACTCAAAGTTCAGCGCACTGCATGTCCACACAACTCTGCATTCCCCCTTCATCTTGTCTGCGGCCACGCAACACACCAAGCGAGGCCGAGACATCGGCAGAGATCTCAAGGAAATTCTTGTCCTGATGGTATCTCGCCACTTCTCGTGCTCTGCCCCCAGTGACTGGACATGCTTTGCCTGGGGGCCTTGATGGGTCTTGGGCCTGTACACGAAAGCCACATGGACAGGGCATCCTGCAGAGCCGCACGCAGCTGCGGCACCAGCCACCTCGGCTTTCTGAAGTGCGGCCTTCCAAGCCATCACCGGGAAAGGCGTAGTATTAACCCTGAATTCAGCATGGCATGGCCCCGGTGTTGAATCCAGGTCACCAGGGCTTTCGATTCAGGCGTCGCGTGCGCTGGACCACCAGGGACAGCACTTTGCTGAGATGGACCCGCAACATCTGAGACCAGGGACGGACAGCAGCACGTAAGCGGATGCGTACGAGCACGCACATCTCCGAAGTGGCCTGGCCCGCCCTGGCCTGGGCCTGCTGGGAGAGGGGCCCCGGGTCCGGGCAGTCGCGGAAGCCGCGAAGGAGCAGATTGTTCAGGTGGGGCCTCGACAACTGAACGTGAGGCCAAGTCGAGTAGTCGAGGACTCCTTACAGCACAGCGCCAGAGGACCGTGGACCAGGCCAGATCCGCTCATGGTCAAAGCACGACCACCAGCCTCCCGCATCAGACACGCTTCGAAGGATGCTTTTTTTCCCTCTCGCATTGCAGAGATCGCTCACGGCGAGGTTACTTGCGGCTGGAGATCTGTTGCACTGTATCATCGTTGACAGGGTTGTCGCCCAAGTGACATCAAGAACCCAAGCATTTTGCCAAACAAACAATCGACCACGATCCCAACAAAGTGAAATCGCACAGGCAAGACCCCTGTTATCGAAGTGGCTTCGGGGCTTCGCGAACTGGCCTTGAGGGCTGTCCATCTCCACATCGAAGGTGCTTCGCAGCTTCTCATGGAAGAAGATGCACCAAGCCAGAAGCCTGATACCATGCACGCGCTTGTCTGGCATGGGCTGTGTATGGTGCAGCCTTGACACCCCAAGAAGTATCAAGCAACCACGGAGCCCCGAGAATGCCTGATGGCTTCTGCGCTCTGGTAGGAGGGCGCATCAAGCTGCGACCAGCCGATGTTCATCGGCTTGATCTGCACCTTCAACCCCGCAAAAGCCAAACATGATCTAGTCTAGTGAATCTAGTGAAGGCATGAGTTGGACAGCGCCCGCGTGTTACAATAGAGTTGAGGTCCAGGACGGACACGGGATTTCTAAAGCAGCCAAGAGGCCAGAATGTCCGTCCGAAATGTGAACTCCTGGCGCCAAAGCACGGGTCGATGCAATCCGAACCCGACATTCTGCCAGCCTGCAAGTGCCACTGACAGTGCACTCTACTGTCCTTTTTAAACTGAGCAAAAAGTCGGGTTAGGCACGAGCCTGTCTACAGTCCAGCTGCTTCCTGTACCTCAGTCGATAACCTCCTCGTCCTTCTGCTCATCTTTCTTCTCCTCCTTGGCCTCGTCCTTTGGCTTTTCGAACATATTGCGTCGCATCTCCACCAGGGATTTCTTGGCAGGCTTCTCCTCTGAGCCCGCTTCTGTGGCCTTTGTTGCATAGCCACCTGCTGGTGGAGGGCTTGCACTGGATGTGGGTGCAGGCGCTGAGTAGCCGCCGGATGCTGCGCTGGGTGCGCTGGGTGCGCTGGGTGCTGCGGTAGTGGGTGCGGGTGTCGAGGATGCAGAGGCCGGGGTGACAGTTTCGGGAGCGCCCGCACCCGCAGAGGCAGCGGCGGACGAGCTCGAGGCTGTTTCAGCCGCAGGGGCCGCAGGGCCGCTGGCAGGATCTGTGGGCTTCTCCGCCCAGAAATCTTCAAGCAGGGGAGCTGCTACACCTTTGGCCCCGGTCACGACAGTGGTGGCGGTGCTGCCGACAAGGTCCACAGCATCCAAGGCGGCATCCTTGAAAGTGGCGACGGCCCCTTTCTCACGGAAATCCTGCACGGTGCTGTGAAGCTCGCTCTTCACTCCGTCAACCAACTGCATAACACTGCCACGTTGTTGAGGAGCTGTTTGCTCGCCTGTGGCTGTCTGTGCAGCCTGCGGCTCTGAATCTATTAAGGACATGGCTCCATCCACTGCCTTTCCAGCGGTGCTGCCGACAAGATCCACTGCCTTTCCAGCGGTGCTGCCGACCATGTCTACTGCGTCAAGCGCGGCATCCTTGAGCGTGCCTACAGCGCCTTTCTGTCTGAAGTCTTGAACTGTGTCTTTAAATTCCTGTCTGATGCTCGCCAACAAGCCTGCATCTGTGGCTTCTTCGGCAGCCCCATCAGGGGAGCCTGCATCAGTGGGGTACACCAGAACCAGCATGGCCTCGTCAATTCCATCCACCTTCACCTGCACGCGTGGAGGCTGCGAGACACCATCCACCTGCAACACCGTCGCCTCCATCACACGGCCATCACTGAACTGCAAGGGAGCGGTGGCCCCCCGCGCTGGTACTCCATCATAGCGAAGCACTGCCGTAGGGTTGCCATCACCATCCACGAGAGATTTCACGTTGCCAACCAGCCAAGAGCCTGCATCTGTTGCCATGTCTCGGGCGTCCAGAGCTGCATCCCGCAGGGCACCAATGGCACCCTTTTGACGAAATTCGTCGACGGTGCCCATGACTTCAGACCGCAGTGCGTTCCAAAGGCCAGCCATGATTGCACGTTCGGACTCCGGCCGGCAGGTCCGCAGGCAGCCTGTACCGCAAGCTTTTGCTTGCGTTCAAGATCTAGGAGGGCCAATGATGCAAAAAAAGCCTTGAAGCTAACTGGGCCCAACTGCAGCAATCGCAAAGCCGTCGTAAGCCCTGCATGACACACACAAACGCAACAACCGCTTGCCAGTCATTGCCTGCCTGCATCGTGTCCGGATAGGTGACCGTCGGCTCCTGAAGCGAAGACAGCTTCCACCCGCACAGTGTTCCTCACTCCAAGAGAGAAGTCTTCCCGACCGCCTCGTAGTAGAAGGACAGGACACGATCCAGCAGCCTCCAGCTTCAAGAGACTTGCAGCACCGTCGACAATCTCAGGTCATGTGGTGAATCTAGAACACGGCAAAATATCAAACACGAGACGGGTGGACAAAAACTAGCCGCACGTTGTGGACAGTTCTTCTCTGCACACTTCTGCCCCTCGTGAATTACATGCTGTTTATCACACTGCCGATGTCCGGGCATCCCACTTCGTCCCTCGAGCCGCGCGGTATAGACGAGAAACCAGCTGTTGGCTCCAAAGCTGATGACGCCACCGCGACTGCAGAAACGTGCGACAAGATAGCAACCGGACGTACGAGTTCCTGTGTAGCGATTGAAACCTTATGCTTTCTGGCAAAAGAAGAAAGAGCTGTCCTGCTTCGGGCCACCCGGTTTTGTGAAGAAGGAAGCCGGCAACTTAGCCTGGCCCGAAGACAACATGCACTCACCCTCGAGCCTTGCACAAGCATCTCATCTCCTCAAGCTACAGCGGCTGTGGGCTGACATCGCCTTCAGCCACATGAGCCAGCCCAGCACCTCCTCCGGCCTCAGGATCTTCGTCTTTGATACGGCATTTTCACAGCGCCCATTCTAAGCGTGGCACGGCTCGCCCAGATGAAGGAAGGCCGGGAAGACGGAGCCTGCGTTGCCTGCCTGAGTATGCATCTCAGACAGGGCATGATAGCATCATGCAGCCAACGTGCGAGCATGTGCCCGTGCACACGCACCGCGTGCAAAAACACAAAGCATCGCACATGGCGACTTAGCAAGGCGAAACTCTGAGCGACAGGCGAAGATCTCCATACGCACAGTGGCTCCGTCATGGATTTCATCTGCCTCACCGAGCTCACGATCCCAGACCACCCAGCACAAGCAAATTCAGCACCCGAAATCGCACGAAGCCGAAATGCGACTACGACATACCACGACGGCTCTGCACTCGAGTCCTCGGTGAGCCCGGGACGCCCGGGAGCAATGATGACCGCTTGTCCGGATGACGCCAATCACAGAGTTCGTGACTTGATTTTCAGGTGTGACCGATCCTGCTCACCCCGACTGACGATTGAATCTAAGTATTTACGCCGGATCTATGCCATGCCATGCCATCTTCAGTCTGGTCAGTCTATAGCCTGTCTCTGGTTCGGCATACCTAAGCGACATGTAAATCACAGGCCCAAATGCGAGCTGCGACTGTGCAGACAAGAAGCCTGCACAAGCGCTTCTAAGCCTAAGCTTCTGCGCAGACCCTTTCTGGCCTCCTCCTCGAGGGGCGGTGCTTCCTCTTCCACGTTCGGCGGGGGGCCCAGTCTGAAGTGTGCAAGTATTGACCTGGGCACAGTCAAGAAATGGCGAGCGTACGGCAGGAGCTCTTGGAAGCTTCCGGCAACTATGCCTCTGCAACATGCCCACGCTCACAAACCTGGACTTCTTAACTAGCGTCATTCTTCAATACCAGAATACCCTTTGAGCGAGCACTTCGTAGCGGACATCGGTCAGAAGCCGAAGCGCCTGGTCACACCGCTCGCTGGCCTCACACGCTTGCACTCCAGCTTGGATTGTCAAGGCATTACCTTGCAGACCATGGCTGTCGAGATCAGCCAGTAGCATCAGCGTCTGCGGCCACTGGCTTGCCTTCTGACATGCAGACAGGGTTGAATTGAAGGAGATTAGGGTGGGTTGTAGATGCCGTTCGCGGATCGAAGCAAGCAAGAAGAGGGCCTGCTGCCACTGCGCTGCTTCACCAATGACTGCAATAGCAGAAACGTATGAGATGGCATCCGGCTGCATTTGACCATCCAGCTCGTCGAACAAAGCCAAGGTGCGCTGCCACTGTATTCCACTCTTGCCGCAAAAACTTAGCAAAGTGTTGTACGACACCAGTGTAGGTTGACACCTAGTTGACATCATGTCTGCCAGCAACTCCAGAGCAAGCTCCCACTGATCCCCCGCCTCGCAAGCGCTGACCGTGGCATTGTACGTAACAGCCGTGGGCTTAAGCTGCTGGATGCGCAGCTCGGAGAACAGGAGAAGTGCAAGCACCCAGCTCTCGTCAAGGCGGCTGCATGCAGATATGGTGGCATTGTATGTTATGGTGGATGCTCGCAACCTCTTCATCCTCACCTCTTGCAGCATGTCGAGTGCTATCTGCCACTCACCAGCCTTGCTACAAGCGCTGATGGCGGCATTGTAGCAGATCACGTCACTTCGGAGCTGGATGCAGCGAAGGCCTCCCAACAGCTGCAATGCTTGCTGCCACTGAGATGCCTTCTCACAGGCGCTTATTGCAGCACTGTATGCGATTAAGCTCGCATTGATGCTGGAGTCTTGCATTTCTTGAATCAGCTGCAGCGCACCATGCCAGCTCCCACCCCTCTCGCATGCAGTGATCGCAGCACCATATGTAAAGTCATTGGCTTCTATTGAGTGCCCCTTGGCATCTTCAAAGAGTTGCAGAGCTGCTCGCCACTGCGAGGCCTTTCCAGCCGAGCTGATAGCAGTGCTAAATGTAAACACGTCTGGGCGCAACAGCCTACCTCTTGCATCATCGATGAGAAAAACCGACTGCAGCCACTCACCAGCCTTTTCACATGCACTGATGACTTTGTTGAAGCTGATCAGGTCATGCTGCAAATTTCGGCGGTCAAACTCGAACAGCACTGAAAGTGCTGCTTGCCACTTCGCAGCTTTGCTGCATGCACCGATTAATGCCGACAGCAGCACAGCATCTACAACACCACCCTCATCGAGCTCCTGGAAGAGCTTCAGAGCCGCCTCCCACTGCGCGCGCTTGCCATGAATGCTCACCGCTGTTGTCTTCTCACGCAAGTCCACATGCGTGGAACAAAAGACGGGAGACCTACTTGCATGGCCTTGCATGCCTAATTCGCCTATCTCATCTATCTCTCTAGAGCCCTGCAGAAGGATTGGATGCATGAACGGACTCCACACTCCACTCAGCGGCCGAAGCAAAGGAAGCTATGCTGTGGCCCGCACAGCACCTCCGCCGAGGTAACACTTTCCAGTGTTCGAAGGAGTATAGGTGCCTTGTCGCGCAAAGATAGAAAAGACCACAATGCTTCCATGATCTTCCATGCGTAGCGCCTGCCTACAAATCGGGACTATCCCTGTCTTCTTACACACAAGGTCGCTTGTTGGCCAAGAAACTGACAGAACCTGGAGAATCAAGCGCCGGCGAGTCTTGGCTTCCAATGTCCCGAGACCTCCGGCACGTCACATTCAACGCAGGAAAATGACGCCTCTGAAAGCATGCCTAAAGCCTGGAGCAGAATGCGATTTTGCATCTCCAGCAAACAGATGCTGGTATAGTATGACCCAAACTTGCGAAAGCTCAACTCCATGTGTAACAACGGAACCAGCCTAAAGAGGCGAGTCTGAGCATGTCTATCTGGTAGCTGACAGGGGGTCTGATGTCCTGCAGACCAACTAGGTGGGAAAAACTGGCGTCGGCAGCACAATCCTAAACCAGGTCCTCCCAGTTCACATACCAAGAACTTTGCTCGAGGGCCCAGTCCAGAATCTGCGAAGGGAGCGAGGGTGTGGCACGAAAGCTGCAGCTTGGTATGCAGAGACCGGAGGCAAAGGGCCCAGGCCTCTGTCTTCCTGAGCATGAAGGCAAAGATTTGAGGAGATCCTCAGTTCTCGGAGGTGACAAACGCGAGATAAACCAAAATCTGCTGGCCGCTAAACTAGACACAGATCTTCTCCTGGCCATGGGATGGATCGGATTGTTTTCCTACGACCCGGACCTTACAGAAAAGTTGTGATGAGGTGCTCTCTGCATGCAGCGGCTGGTTCGTGGTCGGGTCATAGACCAGGTCGCGGATGCGACTCCTCAGTCAATTTTGCGATTACATAGTAAGTTCACTGGTCGCAGCCGAGTCTTGATAGCCGTAAGCACATGGCAGGATTTTGACAACCTCCAGTGGCAGACACTGCTATCGTGTTGCATGCAGGCTCCGCGGTCGGTTAGGTTAGAAATGGCCATGCCATGCTTTGTTAGGCCCGACCCTCACAAACTCGCCCATGGACAGGATCGCCCTGAGCACTTTCCAACCTCGGGGCCAAGGCCGAGGCTGCCGCTCAAGAACTCGTAAGAACCAAGTCAACACCTGCTATGCAATGAAGTCACCACCCCGCAACTGTCCCTGCAAGGCTTCGCAGCTCATGCTCCAGTTCTGCATGTTATGGCTGCACATCAATTGACAGCCCAGCCACTCTGAATGAGTGTTGTCATTCTCGTCAGCTCCTGCAGTGACGAATGTCGGGAAAATGCAAGGATCCACGCTCTACCGAAACCGGAAATAGTGCCGTTCGGCAGCCAGGCAAAGCAGATCCGTGCAATTGCACTCCCGATGGGAGGCTGAGAACCAGGGACTCTGCTCTATTAGCACGAGTCGGTGCAAATCATCTGCACCAACGCAAACACATCCAATCGTGGATCTGAGCGGCGGCGCGCGACAGTTCTCTCGAAGTGGGTGGAAAGGCATTCAACATGCGAAAACTTGCCCCCACTGTTGGATGAAACCAGAGACATGTTTCGCGCTGTGGTCGGTTATCCAGTGAATTTGGCATCGGCTCTGTTGCGATGTTCCAACACTCGCACCGTTCCAGCTCAAGCCGATGGATGTGCTCCGAACGCTTCATGATAAAATCCCTGTGCTTCAGTGCTATGTGATAGTGAAGGTGAGTATGGCCCCATAAGCAAGGATGACCACATCTATCGTGGCTCAAGCTTGATCAGGAAAAGGTGACTTGGCCACAGTTTGGTCTCGCTTTGGGCGTTGGTTCGGAGGGCCTTGAGACAAAAGGATGAATCATCCAGATGACGCTCTATGACTCTATGAGTGTGAAAAGAGATCTTTCTTCGAGCACCATTCCTTCTAACTTCAGCCTTGTACCTCTACGCCCTCGCCAAACCTGGTTCACAACCAAGACCTTGAACAGGTGTTGTGTAGAGCACGTCTGTGATGATGAAGTGCATGAGTTCGCCAATAGCCTGGAGCCTGGCAGGCCTCGCATGCATCTTTCAATGATGCCCTTGAGCTTCCAGGACTTCTTGCTAGCACAAACCCACTTAACACATCTTCGTGCAAGCAACTGTGGATATCCGAAGTCTCGCGCCTAGGATGATTGCCAACCTGCCGCTTTGCTCACCGCAAGTGCTCCTCATCTGCTATCAAGCCGGAGAAGTAGTTGGTCGGCGAAGGTTGCTGGCTGGTGAACTCCATCAGCTTCGCAATCCGGTACACCCGGTTTGCATCCTTCGCATCCATCACAGCTATTGAACTCCGAGCTTGCGAGTTGCAACAATGCCGCATTAGCGGATTCCCAGCGCGATATCGTGCAAATGCTGGGCTGTGCAATGGCTCGAGGCAGCTCCTGACCACCACGCCCGAAGAAGAGACCGAACGGCCTAAGCCTGAATGGGCGCAGGATGCACGGATCTTGGTAGGCCAATGGCCAGCCGGGTGGCAAATAGTCTCGCAGAGCTTTCTGTACAACCGGAGCTCTCATGTCAGGCGGCAATCTCGACTCGACCTGGCACAGCCACATGTGTCGGCGAATGGGTTTTCAGCGATGCTCAGCCTGGTCCAAGTCATTAAATCGTGCATCGAAGAGAGCTCGCTGCTCTCGACAGACGGCCTCGCAGCACTCACAATCGCTCCTCATACAGCACTTTCCACACAGGGTTGAGCTCCACAACTTCCATTGAAGCCTCGCGTACTTTGCCGCGTTTCCAGTTGGCCTTGCGTGGCTCGTGGCTGCTGACGTCCCACCGAGCTAAACAAAACGGAGGACGAACTTGTGAGCCCCATGCTCTGTAATCCTTTTTTTGTGCATCTGAACCAAAACGTCCTCGACAAGCAAGCCTGGATTTTCGTCGCCGCCATGTCGCGGACCCGCTTGCCTCAGCGAAGTACAACTTGTCAGCCGTTGCTATGGCTCCATGCATCCCAACAGCTCGAGACAGAAAACTCTTACTTCGAGATGCGCTCGCGATCCTCGCGCTCCTTTGCTGAGCGCTGTAGGAACTCGGCGCGGCTTTCGCCGCCTCGGCTGCGAAAACCCCGAACACGCCGCAACGCCACATCAATGTTGAGAATCTTTGCACACAAGCACACAAGCACACCAACAAACAAACAAACAAACAAACAAACAAACAAACAAACAACAAACAAAAAAAACAAACACAAAAACAAACAAACAAAAACACACAAAATCACACAAACAACCAAACAAACACGCAAACAACACCAGCAGCAACAAGAACAACAACAACCACCGCAACCACAATTTCTTGGCGACCGATCCACGCCGTCACTTGGCGATTCCGGTTCATCCTATGTCTTACATTTCGCGATTCGGGAAAACACGCCCCCTCATTTGGCGATTCGAGTTCATCATATATCTTGAACACGCCGCCTCATTTGGCGTTTCCGGTTCATCATATCGGACTCACCATATATCTTAAGCAAAACCCCCCCGCTTTGGCGATTCCGGTTCATCATATATCTTAAACACGCCCACTCATTTGGCGATTCCGATTCATCATATATCTTGAACATGCCCCCTCTTTTGACGATTCGGATTCATCCTATATCTTAAACACGCCCCCTCATTCGGCGAGTTGCTTGCTTACGTGCTTGCGTGCTTGCGTGCTTGCGTGCTTGCGTGCTTGCGTGCTTGCTTGCGTGCTTGCGTGCTTGCGTGCTTGCGTGCTTGCTTGCGTGCTTGCTTGCTTGCTTGCTTGCTTGCTTCCTTGCTTTCCTTGCTTCCTTCCTTCCCTCCTTCCCTCCTTCCCT